AGGCGCGAGCGGGAGGAAGGAGTCCGCGCGTGGGAGGCGTCAGAGTAATAACAAGAACCCCAATCCTTAGGATATGGGGAAAAACGACGGACGACTCGAACAAACAGAACACAGCTCGACCTTCTCTTCCTTTTCCTCATCATCCTCTTCCTCCTCCTCCTCCTCTTCGCCCTTCTCTTCCCCCCCCCTCCCCCTCCTCCTCCTTCTCCCCCCCCCTTCCCCCTACTCCTCATCCTTCTCATCCCCCCCCCCCTGCCCTTTCCCCCCCCCCCGTCCTCGAGGGTGGGGGGGGAAGGCGCCCCCCCCCGACGTCCGCTGGAGGGCCGTCTTCCATCCTGGATCGGCCTCCGACGGGCCCCGGCGGACAGGAAGCAAACGGCCCCCCGGGGCCGAAACCTAAGATCCCAAGAAGACGGCCCGCCGCTCGCCAAGGCCGTCCGCGCGCCGCCGCGGGCCGCTCTTGCAACTTCGGCGCAGGGCAGCGGGGCCCGCGGAAGGGAGGGGGGAGGAAGGGGGCGGAATGGGAAGGGAAGGAGGGGCGGGAGGGAGGGGCGGGGGGGAGGGGAGGGGGAGTGGGAGGGAGGTGGAACGGATGGGGAGGAAGGGAGGAAGGGAAGAGAGAAAGGGGGCGCGGAGGAGGAAGAGGGAGGGGGAGCGGGGGAGGAAGAGGAGGGAAGGGACGGAGGGAGGGGGGAGGAGGATCCCATATTTTGGACGCGCTTCCGGCACCGATGTTCACCGCGAGATGCAACGACTTATGCCGCTCACACTTGCGCCGAGCTGTCCTGAGCCCGCCGACCCCTTGTGGGTCTCTTGGCGCATCAGAATATTCCCTTCCATAAGCCCCCGCTGGGTTTGGCCTATTGAAATCTCTTGGGGGCCTCTTGGAGCCTTTCAGGGGCCTCCTGGGACCTTCTTGGCGCGGAAGGGAGGCCTCGTAGGGGCCTCCAGGGGCCTCCTGGGGCCTTCTTGGCACGGAGGGGTCGGATTTCCCGTTCGGGCTCCCCCTCTTGGGCTCCTCTTGGGGCCGCCTTGGAGCTCTCCTAGGCCGTATTGGGGGCCTCTTGGGGTGTCTTGCCCCCCTCCCGGGACGTATTTGGAGCCTCTTGGGCCGTTTTGAGACTCTCTTGAGGGCCTCTTGCACCGTCGTCACCGTTGTGAAGACAGACAAGTCGTAGATAATATACGTTTCCCGATTCAAAATCAATAATTTGGGCCTCTTGGTACCCTCTTGGAAAGCCTCTTGGGGCGTCTTCGCGGTCTCTTGGGCACTGTGAGAACCGCTTTGGGCGTCCAAGGGCTAGCTTTGAGCGCCCCGGGGCCGCCATGGAACGTGTTGGGGGCCTCATAATAGGGCCCTCTGGCCACGCCTTGGCCGCCCCTCGGGCTGTCTTGCGCCGTGTTGGTAGCATCTTGGGGTCGTTTTTGGGGCCTCTTGTACCGTCGCGCGCGCCGTGAAGACTGAAAAGCCGTAGATGCTAAAAATGTATGTTTCCCTGCGCAAAATCAATGATTTTGGCCGTTTGGGCTCCCTTGGGAAGCTTCCTGGGGCGTCGTAGCGGCCTCTTAGGCTCTATGGGAGCCATCTTGGGCGTCCAGGGGCGATCTTTGAAAGCCCTGGGGCCGTCTTGGGCCGATTTGGGAGCCTCTTGGGGTTCCGTGGACCTGTCTTGGCCGCCTCTTGAGCACGCCTTGGCCGCCTCTGGGGCTGCCTTGGGTTCCTCTGAGGGCCCTGTTGGGGGCCTATTGGGCCGTCTTGGGGCCGTCGTGGGGGCCTCTCGTACCCTCGTGCACGCCGTGAAGACCGAAAAGACGTAGATGCTCAAAATGTACGTTTTTTGGCCGCCTGGGGCTCTCTTGGAAAGCAACCTGGGGCGTTGCAGCAGCTTCTTGGGCCCAATGGGAGCCATCTTGGACGATCTTTGAGCGCCCCGGGGCCATCTAGGACCGGTTTGGGGTCCACTTGCGCCTCCTGAGCACATCTTGATCGCCTCGTGGCCTGGACAGGAGCGCTCCCGGAGCCCCGGGGCGGCCATGGGGGGCGAGGTACCGCCCTGGCGGCCCCGATCCCCTTCCGCCGGCAGATATATACACATAAACTATACGAATTCTATATATCTATATATATATATATATATATATATATACGGAGAGAGAGAGAGAGAGGGAGGGAGATTGAGAGAGAGAGAGAGACAGGGGGAGAGGGATATATATATATATATATATATAAAGACACAAACAAAGAGAGAGAGAGAGAGAGAACAAACAAACAAGAGAGAGAGAGAGAGAGCGAGAAACAAGGAACGAGAAGGAGGGAGAAGCACACGGGTGGAGGAGCGACGAGGGAGGAGGAAGAGTAGCAGGATGTCGAGGCGGTCGAGCTTGCGAGATCGGCGCGCTGCGCGCAAGGTAAAATTGACGAATTGGCGAAAACAGCTGTGCAGGGTGGGGGGGTGCCGTCGTCAACGGGCGAGCAACAGCGAGGCTGGCACGGGCGCGCCTGGACTGCTGCAGTCTGCCCCACCGATCCTCTGGCCGTCTTCGGCGCCAAGGGTCGCTCTGCCCTCTTCCATTCTTCCATCTGGCCCCTTCACTATCCCCTCCCATTCGCACTCCGTACTGCCTGTTGCCCTCCACGAAGATGCGCCCGCTTATGTCAGCCCTGAAGCACGTACCTCTTCCCATCCGCCACGTTGGAACATGAACAGACGGCCCAAACGGCTGTCGGTGAGAATCCCTGGGGCAAGCCGTGATGGTGATCCGCCGAGGCCGATTCGCTGATCCCACAAGGGCTCCCATAAACCTCGAGGCCTCCCTCCGCCGTGCAACTCGCAAACGCGAACGCCTCCGCAACTTGATTGCCGCGCGCTCTCTGGACAAGCGTGCGCTCGCTTGGGTAGGATTCCAGGGTTGCGCGGCTGGTGGAGCTTCCTCTTCCTCATTCTCTCTCTCTCTCTCTCTTCCCCCCCTTTTCTCCCCATCTCTCTCTCTCTCGTTGTAGGCTGTAGGGTCTCACCGCCTCCTCCTCCTCCTCCTCATCCTCCTTCTCCGAGACGCCCGCAGGGCGGTCGCGTGCACCCCTCCCCGACCTCGTCGGGTGTGGCGTGAGCCCACTCTCGCCGAGGGCCAGCGCCTCTCGGCACCAGGGCCGACGAGGGCGGCAGTTGGTTCTGCACCAGCTCACTGCAAGAGGATTCGGGCGAGGTCCTCTCAGAAATCCAGGGTGCCGACTGGAAGGAAGCATCTAGGGGCAAGCCAGGCGGCCCGGTGGGATAGAGCCATGGAATGGAACAGACGGTTCTATTGGCATCGATCCATTCTTCCGCCTGCTAGAAATTCTGCAAGCAGGCACGCCGTAATCCAAGGAGTTCAATATTCGAAGTGGGACAGAGGGTGCAAGCTCTCCTTCAATCGCTCATCGATGCTGCGTTGCGGCTGGATCGGCATATGAGGCAATCACTTGTGTATCCGTCGCTGGCAATATTGTTTTCCTCTTTGGCGTTGCAGTGAGCCACTCGCAGTCGCCATGGGGGCACCATTGGGGCACTCGGGCTCGTCCCAGCTCGTCTGCTGTGTGGCTCGGTTTTCAAAAACGCAGCAAGGACACTGACACTGGGATGTGCACGTGTCCTCCAACCGCCTCTCGAAGCAAGGCCCCGCAATAAGCCCGAAAGTCTTGGCGGGGTCATGGCGCGTGGGCACGGGACACACCCCAAGGCTGGTCGTCCCAAGTGGTGACGGTAGAGGTCCTGGGGCGAATCAGAGCAGGACGCAGCTACACGTGCGTGCGGAAGGCTTTACGTATTATTTGCAAGTACACATGGGTCGGTGCGCACACAGATCTACATATATACGTACAAACGTACATCTAGGAAGAACAGCCTTGGGTGGTGATCGGGCTTGCATCCTTACTCTGGGTACCTCAACAGCAATAATTTTGGCCCACCGAGGTGAAGGTGCCCGATCGGACAATGAGGCCCCCGCCGGACTACAAAGTCACCCTTCCGGACTAATTACAGGCCCCCCCGAACTACTTGCCCCACCCCTGACAGGGAAACCCAGGACTACACGTGCTCCAAGAATCCCACCAGCCCTTCGGGGCTGGTGGGATCCACTTTGATCTTTCGGGGAGGGGCTTACCCCTCCCCCTACCCCGTCCCCGGGACCTGGACGGGGCCGGTCGCGAGGTGTCAGGGCGTCCAAAGCGGCCTCGGCGAGGAAGCCAAAATTAGAGGTTGTACTATGGAGTTGGCCGCATTTTGGCCTCTTGGGGGGGCGACTCTAGTTTAAGCTCCCCTCTTGATTGATCGATGTCCTCCAAGATGGTCCCAAGAGCGCTCCCAAGGCTCCCAAGAGCGCTTCAAAAGGGCCCCAAGAGGCGCCCAGGAGGCCCCAAAAGGCGCCCAAGAGACCTCCAAGAGGCTCCCAGGAAACCCCCAAGAGGGCCCAAGAAGCTCCCCGAGGCACCCAAGACGCTCCAAGAGGCCTTCGAGACCGCCAAGAGGCCCCGAAGACGCTCCAAGAGGCCTCCATTGGGGGACCCTTCCTCTGCGTGCTGCCCACTTCCCTGATCGAGGCAACTCTTCGGGGCATCGTTTCTTGATGCGCTGGTGGGGTTGCTTTTTGGTCCGCGGGCGAGCGAACACGAGTCGAACGCCGAGCAAGCTAGGGCGGGCAGCACTCCGTAGCTAAGGGAAACCAGAGAGGCGACCAGCGTCTGGCTCAGAGCGGGACGGGGCTCAACGCTGCCAACATGGCGCACATGGCACCACAAAGCGGCATCGGGATCACGTCCAGCGAAGCGTCTGAAATTGTTTGCGCTGTGTGTTGTGCGCGTGGCTTTCTTCATTCGATGGGCGCTGCGTCTGGCTTGCCTGCGCGCGTGAGCGAGAAAAGTGCTCACGCGCGGGGTGAAAAAATACCTTCGCGCGCCCAGCTCCCCCCCCCCCCCCCGGGACAACAAGGGCCTCCCTCTGGACTACAAGGAACCCCCTCTCGACTACAAACACCGCCTCCTTAGGTGTTCCTTCCCCCGGACTGCAGGGGAGAGTGCCATCGGCGATCGGCTTGCCGCTGTGTGTGGCCTGCTCGCGCTCGCGCGGCGCCTGCGTTCGCAACTCCGCAACCCGTCCGTGGAGCCTTCCACAGGTCTGCCAAGCAGCTCCATCTAAAGACGGAGGGGCGACAGGGAAGAAGAGCTGGAGAGCAAAAATGGAGACTGGAAGGGGAGAACCCCCTTGGGATCCGTCATGGACCGCGTCGCAACTCGGACCTTCCGCGCGATGCTGCCCACCTGCGCAAAGTTTCGCCCGATCTGTCACAACCGTCGTCATCTTCCGACCCTGCTCTGTACTTGCCTACAGATCCACACGCGTTCAAAGCACTCTGGCTCGCCCTCCGCGAGATCCACCTCATGCTTCTCCCCCCCCCGGGCTCTAAAACCCCACATGGCCCGCTAGAACGTCGTGAAACCTCTTGAACATGAAACCCGTCCTCCTGCACCACCCCTCCCTCCGGATCCCATCTTCCCGCTGCTACTATCGCCTCCTGCACCCAGTCCTGGTGACATCTGAGGCCACAGAGGGGGCGCGTGCTCCTCCGAGACTACCAGGTGCCCCAACTCCTCGGCTGGCGGCGGGCGCTCCAACGCCTTGGCCGCGAGGACGGAAGGGCGAAGTATGGATGGATGGGGGGAAGGCGGCGGGGGGAGGGGCGGGGGGGGGGGGGACGGACGAGCGGATTGGAAGAAGAGACAGAAAGTTCTAATGTTTTCGAGCGGGGTTCCAGATAGTTGAATTGTTTGCTTGCACGAATGGTGCGATTCTTACATGGGCCTTAAGGGGCTCTAGATGGTGCTCACCGTTGTTTAGCGAGGGAAGTGGACGAGTGAAAAAGCAGATTCCCCTCGCGTTCCTGTCCTCTTTCCATCTCATACGTCCCATCCTCCTCCTCCCGGGAAAGGGCTGCAGAGGGGTGGAGGGAAGAAGAAAGCTGCCGGAAGAGGAGGGGGAAAAATCAGGGTGTTCAAATCCAAGTGTGGACGGCCGCGAACTCAACAGCAAACCCCAGCCCTCATACATTACCATTGGCAAGCTCAAGCACGCTACGGCTTGGAGGGGAGTGGGAAAAGGCGGCATGGAAGGTGATAGAAGGGGGAGAGAAGTAGGGGATGGGGATGAGGGGGCAGATGGGGAGAGAAGGAAGAGGAAATAACATGAGAGAGAGCAAAAAGCACGGATCCGCCACCGCGTCTCTTGGTACGTGGGGAGGGGGTAGAATGCTAAGTGCGGGCTGGTCGAATTTATGAAATGTTGCTACAAGCACCCTCCCTGGAGGTTCCCTATGCGGCCTGACGCCTCGTTGGGACTCTACGAAGCGCTCAAAATGCCCAAGATCGTTCACAAAACGGCCACGATGATGGCCACATATGCCTCCAAGACGGCCCACGATGGCCTCAAAAAGGGCCGATGTGGCCTCAACACGTCCCGAACAGGCCCCCAAGCCGGCTTCAAGAAAAATATAAGAACGCCCGAGAAGGCCAAACGCATATGTCCCCCGTAAAATCTCGAACATGTTACTCGCGTTATCACCTTTTCGGGCCTCCGTCAATCCAGAGAATCCCAAGAGGCCTCCAATAAGGCCATACGACGGCCCTGGGAGTTTGAAGGGGGCCGGTAGGCCCGTCCAGAAGCTAAGCCGTAAGGCGAAGCGTAGTTCCAGCTCTGATGTAGCGTAGCAGCGCTAGTCCCAGTCGGAGGAAGTCGTCGCGGGAGCGACGGGCCATCTCGAGCGAAGGATGTTTCGGTCTCGATGGCCAGTAGTATGCCCCGCAATGAGGCGCAGTCAGATGTTGGCGGCTGGCCGCTTGAACACAAACGGCCGCTGACAAACGCTCGCCATCTCCCGCCCTTGACCCAGCTCACTTTAGAGTCAGGGGGGGAGAGGGGGGGCGAAGCGTGAGCCCGCCGCTCTTATACACCGAACGCTGTATACACAAAAGACAACTAAAAGGCGGGTCCGCAAGCAAGTTGCCTTGCAAGCACATTGTTGTGCATGCGATTACTCCTCAGGCGGCTTCAGACGATGCTGTCTGGCCAGCCCGATATGGAGTATTACGTTTGAAATAATGCTTGAAGGATCGCGTGCCTCCCATGACCTGTAGGAACATATCTCTGTCAATGCTCCCCTTCGTGTGACCGTCCGCGGTCCTGTCGCGAGTGTCACACCACTGGATGTTACGCACGCTTCCTCTCCATCATTTGTCGCATCCAACTGGTGCGCCCCAGAAGAGTACACTCAGTCGGCTTCTTCAGGTTTTTGCTTGACAAGGACTTGAAAACAGATTCTGCATCTATGGTCGAGGCGACCTTAATGCTCAGGCCACCCAGCTCCAGTATATCTTTCAACTGGGTGGGTGTCAGTGGACCTGCATGGAGTTCGTGCAGAGTCACGATCGTGGGATAGCAGTCCTCCAAATTGTGGGCTGCTGCTAGTGTTTCTGCTGAGTAGGCTGAGCGGACCTGCAAGCGGCGAGACTTGCAGCGCGCATCGATCAAGTGGACAACAGGCTTACTGGATAGCGTGTTTCCACGCCGTAGCAGGTTTGCCCCGCGAATATCGCGGCCTTTGACCTCGTCGCCGACGTCTCCACTCAAGCGTCGGTAGCCGGAGTCGCTGTGCAGGTCAACTTCGCCCGTTGGAGTCATCGAGTAACTTCCTGGCAATCACGTTCAGTCGTCGCACTTGTATATTGGTCGCTTCTTGGACGCGTTGTAAAGACACCACATGGGACGTCCTGCCGACTCTGGGCTGCGACATTTCGTGCATTCCGCTCACGAGGCGGTAAAGCGTGTTTCGCCTGAGACATGATCGCACCCCTGAGCTCAAGAATGCTATGTTAGAGGTGGCCCGCCGCGTTTCGCTTGAAACATCCTCGCAACTCTGAGCTCGGAGATGCTGCGCGAGAGATGATCTGGCCCTTTTCGCCTGAGACATCCCCGCAACTATGTGCTCCGAGATGCAGCGCACGAGGTAGCCTGGCGGGTGTCGCTTGGGACATTCTCGAAACTCTGGGTTCCAAGATGCCGCGCGAAAGGTGGTCCTGCCCGTTTCGACTCTGGGCTCCAAGATGCCGCGCGAGAGGTGGTGCGTTTCGCTTGAGACACCCTCACAATTCTCAACTCCGAGATGCCGCGCGAGAGGTGGTGCGTTTCGCTTGAGACATCCTCGCAATTCTGAGCTTCGAGCTGCTGCGCGAGAGGTGGTGTGGCCCGTTTCGCCTGAGACATCTCCACAACTCGGTGCTCCGAGCTACGGCGCGAGAAGTGGTCCAGCCCATATCGCTTGAGACAGCCTCGCAACTCTGAGTTCCGAGATGCCGCGCGCGAGGAGAATGGTCCGTTTCGTCTGTGGCATCTTTGCAACTCTGGGCTCAAAACTTCAGAACTGCCGCGCGAGAGGTGGTCCGGCGCATTTCGCTTGAGACTTCCTCTCAACTCTGGCTCCGAGATGCCCCGCGCGAGGTGGTCTGGCCTGTCTCGCTAGAGACATCTGCGCAACTCTGGGCTCCCAGATGCCGCACGCGAAGAGGGCCCGTTTCGCATGAGACGTCATGCCGACTCTGGGCTCCGAGATGCCGGGCGCGAGAGATGGTCCATCGCGACTCGCTTGAGACATCCTCGCTACTCTGAGCTCCAACAGGGAGGAGAGAGGAGGGAGGAGGGTCGGATACACTTGAACCAATTGCTTACACTTCTGTTGTCGAGTTGTGCTCCGGGAGCAGCCTGGCCGCTGCCTGGCAAATCCTCGCAGCTCTGAGCTCTAAGCGCGATGAGGGCCCGCCTGTTTCACCTGAGACATCCTCGCAACTATAATGGTCCAGCCCAGTTGCTCATCGCTCATCCCTCCTCCCGCCTCCCTCCTCTCGCCTCCCGCCTGCTGCGCCTCTGCCTCCGCCTCTCTGTCACTGACTCCGTCATTTCTACCGCCTCAGCATCCGCCGCACGCGCCCCGCCTCCCGCCCTCCCCAGACATCCGGCATCACGATTCTTGCTTCGAGACGTGAGCCCGCGGACCTGCCGAGACGTGGATCCACGGGCCTTGCGTGGGCGAGTCATTAACGATACGGCACATAACGTTAGTGGGCGCACGCCTGGACACAACAAACCCGCCGTCAGATTGCATAGGCTTCCGACATGGGCGGCGGGAGGGCCGACATATCGCCGACTGTGGCGCACCTGGTGCACGTGGCGCCGCTAGCATGCGCGGCGCACCACGCGGGCTTCGCGCACTTGGCTGGCGTCTGAATTCGTTCCGGATAGTTGTCGATGGCGACCCCTGTCCTTACTGAAACTCGGGTGCTACTCATGTATTGGGAGGGTGGGTGGGAATGAGCGAAGCGGCTTGTCGCTTGACGGTAGCTTGTCCCTTCCCCCTCCGCCCTCTCCCTGGGTCTCGAGGGGGCGGGGCCACGGGCGGTCAGACTGTCCAAGGTCGCCCAAGATGGCTCCACGAGGGCCTCCGAGATCTCATGATAACCTCCAAGATGGCTTAAGTTGCCTTCACCGTGCTCAATATCGCTTCCAATATGTTCCGGAAGGCCTTCAGACCACCCCAAGACAGCTCCAACCGGCCACGGATCCCCCCAAGGAAGCCATCAAGACAACAAACTCCATCGAACACTATGAAAATATATTGTGTATTGTTTTCTCGCTCTTTCCCTTAAAATGCACTCCGAGGCCTCGATATAGCCAGGATGGCCGAGGAGAGCCAGCCCCAAGAGAGGTCCAAGAGAGGCCCAAGACGGCTCCAAGGGCGCTCAGGAACCCCCCACGAGCGCTCCAAGACGGCCCCAAGAGGCGATTTAGGGGGGCCCTAATTCAGTACACCCCCTTTTTTGGTCGAGCTCTTTCAAGGTGGCCCCAAGACGGTCCAAGTTGGCTTAATATGGCCTCCAACATGCCTCCAAGAAAACCCAAGATGGCGCCAAAACGGCCTGAAGTGGCCTCGTGGCCTGCCAAGACCGCCCCGGAGGGGCACAACTTCCTCTGCTTGTCGTTCCACTGCATGTTCCCCCACGTCCCTGATCAAGGCAACTCGCCTGGGCATCGTTGCTGGATGGATTGGTGCGGATACTTTTTTGATCGCGACCGCGTCGAGAGAAAATGGGCGGCGTCAAGGGCGCAACGAGCACGCGGCGGCCTGAATTACGCGCACCGAGGGAAGACAAAAAAAAATAGACAAACGGGGAGAAGAACAAACAGAAGGCGAGCCTCGCTGCCGCTCAGGGAGGGCGCTGTCGACCAGGAAGATATTCCAGGCAACCTGCAAAACTAAAACGGTGGAATTCGAGTTGTACGACACCACGAACATGCAGAGGAGGACCATCAACAGGACGCGCAGCGAATCCAGCGCCAAGTCATGGAACCGCGGATGCAAGTGACAGCCGTGTCGCGCGCCTCGGTGGGTTTCGATCAACGCCATGCGGGCGCTCAACGGACCAAAGTCCGGATCGCCAAACACCGTCGGGACAGGTGTCGAGGATGGTGCCGTCTGGGTGGGTGCGGGCGGTGCGCGCCACCAACAAGGCGAGGGGGCCCAGCATGGGGACCACCGGGGGGGGCCCGCGCGGTGGGGGAGGACCGGGAGTGC